CCCCCCCCCTCTCCCCGCACCGACTCTCTTTCTCTCTCTGTCTCTAATTTGAGGCTAGTCACATTTCCTTTCACAACGAATTAGCCAACTGGCAGGCAGGCAATAGGAGAACGAAAGCACGGGCTAAATTGAATCAAATCGGTGGCACTGGCAGAAGGCGAGTGGAGGGCGAGCTCATGTGAAAATATGCATGTGGGGCCATCCCGGAAGTTTCCGCTAGGCTGCACAGGCGGCCGAGGGGGCTGAGTGGGTGGGTGGGAAAACTGTGGCGTCTGTCGACAGTTACAATGTTGTTACAATTTTTTGAAGCTACCCAGCAATTGCTCAGCGCTGCATGCAACGTGTTGCATGTGTTTTAACTAAGACTCTTTGTTGTTGTTGTTGTTGTTGTTGTCGGCCATTGCAACATCATATTTATGCAAAGCTCTTGCTGCTGTTGCCACAGCGTTAGATGTGGCAAGCAATAATAATAATAAAGGTAGCAGCACACATACCCACTCAGCTCAGGTAAGACCTGAGTCTTGCAATCTTGCAGTCAATCTGCAGTCAACGGTCAAATGCTCTCTGGCAAAAGTTGTTTTCATTATCTTTGAGAAATAGTGGTAGGAAATTCCTCGCATAATTTTTCTAAGCAAAACAATTACACAGATCCCACACTTAGGGCGAAAAAGTTAAGCGGGCACGTCACCTGAACCTGAGAACCAAAGAAAGGCCTGCCTAAATGGCGGCATATCATGCCAAGGGCCCATCATAAGTCGCCTGGCCCACTAGGCCAACGGATCTGCTCAATTAGTCGCGATGTAAGGCAATTTCCGGTATTTAACAGACAAAAATACACACACACACACACACAGACAAACACTTCAAACAAACAAAAACGATGCCAACATATTTGGCTAAGCAAAGTTCCCCCCTTAGCTCAGTCTCATATTACCTACTCTGGAACTCGTTCCCAATACACCTCTATCCCTGTATCTCTCTCTCGCTCTCTCAATGTTGTTTGTGTCTCTTTCTGTTTCTTAGCTTGACAGGCGAGTGACAAGTTAAACGTCAGTTTCATAATTGCTTATGACTTTTAAATAAATCTGGTATCAGATTTCGCAACACACACACATACACACATGGGCCACCCAATTGAATGGTGTGAAAAAGATAGCAATAGCTAGAGAAGTGAACGCATAACTCAGCAGAAACTCAGCACGATTGTTATTTTTAGTTAATGGTCGGAATATTATTTATGTATTTTTTGTAGACGCGGAAATCTTTTTACGTTTCTCTTGCCACACTCTGAACATGTTACGCTTGCCACATGGCCCCGCAATGCAGGCGAAACTATTTCTATTTATTATTTTGGACACTTTGCAATTCCATTTGAAACTTTGTGCAACAAAAATAAAAAAATAAAAATAAAAGTAGTTGTCTTTGGGGTAATGCTCGTGCGTGGGTTCATATGGCATCGTATCACAGATTGTAGCGAGGGCAATCAGCGCCAGCTGCTGCGTGTTGTCCCTGTTGCCATTGACGGGGTTTTTTTTGTTTTTTTTGTTTTTTTTTTTTTTTTATATATTTGGCCAAAATATAGGTGAATAGACACGGGAATATGTCAACTCGGAAAATGTCACAGCAAAAATAAAAATATTTGTTGCTCTTAAATAAGTTGTAAAAATAAATAATGCTAAATTGGAAAATATTTTTATTTCCTTTTTTTTTTATTATTATTTATTTTTATTTATTATGGAAAACCTTAAAAAGGGAAATAGAATGTCAACGCAACGGAAAAGTTTACAAAAAAAGAAAATCTTTTGATGCTTGCATTTGAGAAAAGATTTATGATACACATTATTTATATAAAAGTATTTCTTTAAATAAAATAGATCAAGTGTTTAAATTTATTTAATATGTATTTGTGTAATATATGAAAATATTATATTTGGCATTTGGATTTTATGATATTTTAATATACTTTGTTAGTCATTTTATGATATTTCTAAAAATAACCCAAGAATTCTACAGCTGCCAACTAATATCAATTTCCCATAGCTATCAGTTCCATAAAAATCATTAATCAGCTACACACCCCAAAACGTATCCTAAACAAAAAGCAAGAGCTATGTACGTATAGCTATGAATCAGTTGGCAAATAATTTTAAATATACAAAAAATAAATATACACATTTTATAAATATTATTTTATAGAAAAATATGTTGGGGAAAAACCAACGATTTATAGATAGTTGATTAAATTAATTTGCTTTCGATAAAATACTGTATATACTGTAAAATATATAAAATTATTTAATATACAATAGACGTAAAGTAAGTCGACTTTCCCACTTCAAAGACTTGTCAATAAAACTTCAGCTCAATGTTGCCCCAAAGTCGCAGTTTCTATAAGTTGTGCGCAGTACAAGCCTTTTTCCTTTCCCCTTTCGTCTTCGCCTTTCAGGCTAATCAAATTTTGTCAAAAAAAGACGCAAATTTGATGAGCCATCCCATGCACAAGAACAATAAGTGGAAAATAAAGAGCAGAGCTCCGATGCTCTGCCAAAAGTGGAAAAGCGCTCTCAAGCAGCGCTTGAAAAAAGGGAACCAATCGGCAACGACAGCTCCCATCTAATTGATTTTTAAGTATCGCCAAGAAAAAAATGAACAACAGGGGGCGCTCCAAATGGCGAGTGGCTTCTATTATGGCAGACTCTTTGAAGTATGAAAGTGTGTGTGTGTGATTGCGTGTATGCTATGATTGTGTGTGTATGTATTCTCTGTATTCTGTCTGTCTGTCCGTTTGTGTGTTTGTTTTGCCCTCCTGCTGCCCTTTTATGGCAACGATGCAAATCACACGCCACAAAATTTGAGAAGTGGCGCAATTGCCGTTAAGACCTTTTACGACATCAATGTGACCAGTATATATGTACGTAGGTATATGCTATATATGTACATATATAGAGTATAAATACACTTTTATTTACATAGGTGCCCAATTTCGAGACCTATGAACAAGG